TTAGGATAGAATTCATTTTACAAGGTTTCATTGATGAAACTAGTATTTTAATTTCTTTATATTACCTTTGGGGTCGCACGAAACATATATTTTTGTCAATATGTTTGTCCTTTTTAATTCGATTGAGATTATGCATTAAATATTTTTGTCCTGATTATATTAACTTTAACGATATTTCCCTTTTAGTTACCCTAACTCCCCTTTTCCCCTTCCTTCTTTCCTTCCTATTTTTGCTCTATTCCTTTACTTGTCACAACATCGATTTGAACTTCTCCCGTCTTCCATATCCCTTCCTTCCCATTTTTCCATTTTCTTTTGGTAATCTTTGATCTTATCAATAATAATATAACTTTGCACTAATAACGGTTAGTTTTTAATTTTTTCCCATTATTAAATTTAATTCTTATTTATAGGCATTCTTATTATCGTATCAGCGAACGTAATGGTAGAGGTAGCCTTTTAAAATTTGTGGCTTCCAAAAAATTATTTTGTTTTTTATTTTCTTTTTAATTCACCAGACTGCATTTTTTTTCAGTAATCCTGCTACAACCGTCACACCGGCGAGGTCCAGTTTCAGCGTTAAATGGGGATTTGTACGACCTAATGTAACGCAACATTCCAATTCTGTTTTTATACGTTTTTGCCTATATGCAGATTGCAAAAACGCAAACTGCGACGATCCCGTCCTTATATATATGTATATATATATATATATATATATATATATATACATACATACATATATATACATATATATATGTATATATATGTGTATATATATACATATGTATAAACATATATGTATGTGTATATGTTCGTGTGTGTGTTTTTCCGTGTATATCAACTCGACAACCGAGCAAGCCCGGTGCCAAAATATTGCTAATGGATTCCTAGGCCAAGTGCTACCTCAGGACCACGGTATCAAAATTCACACATACCTGGGCCAGCGTACGAGCATGTGAAATCCTCAAAGAAAAATCGCTAACTCGGGGACCAGGGAGGCCGAAATTTTAATGAGA